GTAGAGACGGGGTTTCACCATGTTGACCAGGATGGTCTCGATCTCTTGACCTCATGATCCACCCGCCTCGGCCTCCCAAAGTGCTGGGATTACAGGCGTGAGCCACCGCGCCCGGCTCTAAGTAATTCTTAAATAACTTTTATTTCAACATTCACAGTTGAAAACATTCCATACTGTAACAAAAGTTTCAATCTCCTTTCAGAAGCCCAGTACCCTTAGTTTGATTCAAGCTGCCTCAGAGGTGAATTGGTTAGTTTGCAATCTGGAGTTTGCAAGTAATAATTAATATTTGAAAAAGCCTAACGCAGATTATATATTTGCCCACAAAAGGGATAAAAAGACTAATAAAAATGTTAAATTATTTGCTTTTGGCTGTAATTTTAGTACCTAGGTCTGCCTACATGGTGCCAGTCAGAAGCATAATTTGCATTGTAGACGCCTTTATGTAATAAAAAAATTAATAAATGCAGTTTCATAAACATAATTTTCTAATCTTTTAAAACACAGGACATAGGGGGAATAAAAAGAGGGCCTTGGTGGTTAAAAAGTTGGAAACCACTGCATTAAATTACCTTCAAATCCCTTTAAGTGTCCTGCTTATCCTTATAAACATTAGCTCTCACTGTACAGCACTGTAAAGACAAGTAAGAGTTTGACTTCTTTTTTTTTGAGATGAAGTTTTGCTCTTGTTGCCTCAGGCTGGAGTGCAGTCGTGCAATCTCAGCTCACCACAACCTTTGCTTCCCAGGTTCAAGCAATTCTGCCTCAGCCTCCCGAGTAGCTGAAACTGCAGGTGCACCCCACCATGCCCAGCCACTTTTTGTATTTTTAGTAGAGACAGGGTTTCACTATGTTGGCCAGGCTGGTCTTGAACTCCTGATCTTGTGATCTGCCCGCTTTGGCCTCCCAAAGTGCTGGGATTACAGGTGTGAGCTACCATGCCTGGCCTACACTCCTTACTTTCAGAGGGTTTTTTTTTCCTTTCGTTTTTTTTTTTTTCCTTTTCTTTTTTCCTCTGAATAAACCAATGCTTTGACCAAAACACAGGGTTTTTTTTTTTCCCCAAATTTAAACTTGTCACTGGACTAGGAAGACACGATTGAAATGGCTCTTTCCATGAAAAATTTAGTTTTGTGGTTGTTGCCAAAGTGATTTACAATGCTTTTAACAATGATAGACATCCCCTAAAACATTCTCAAGTAATTATACCCTTGGGGTGGTGCAGTGGCTCATGCCTATAATCTCAACACTTTGGGAGGCTGAGGAGGAAGGACTGCTTGAGCCCCCAGTTTGAGACCAGCCTGGGCAACAGAGTGAGACCTTGCCTCTTTGCATTTAAACAAATAAATAAATAATTTAAAAAGTTACATCCTTGGGACCATATTCTAGTGTCAACTCTGAGACAGAAAAAAAAGGCGACTATGTCCAAGAGCTTTTAGCTTTTCCACTTGATTCTACTTACATGTTTTTCATCCAGTAGGACTTTTCTCTACTTTCCCACCTTCACATGAATTTTCTAACAATAAAACTCATTTGTAATGCAATAAGATGTAGTCTCCATCAGGCTTTTCCTAGTTTTACTACATCATTAGGTTGCTGCTACCTATTAGAATAGGTCCTGTTTGTAGATTCTTAGGGTCCTCAAATTCCTTTCCAATGTGAAGTTTCTGGTGTTTAAGAAAACCTATCTACCCACTGAAGGCCTTACCACAGTTGCTACATTCAAAGGGTTTCTCTCTGGTATGAATTCTTTGGTGACTAACAAGGTGTGAATTCTGATTGAAGGCCTTCTCACATTCAGGGCATTCATAGGGTTTCTCTCCAATATGAACACGATGGTGTCTAATAAGATCTGAGCTGCCCCTAAAAGATTTCCCACATTTGTTGCATACATAAGGTTTTTCTCCACTGTGAATTCTATGATGTCTTACAACGTCTGAGCTCTGATTGAAAGTTTTCCCACATTCTTTACATTCATATGGTTTCTCTCCTGTATGAGTTACCTGATGTCTGATGAGGTCTGAGCTGCCCTGGAAATTCTTACCACACTGATTACACCAATAAGCTTTCTCTTCCTGGTGAATTCTCTGCTTTTCCCTAAGCTCCTCATCCTTGCTGAAGGTTTTCTCACATTCTTCAAGTTTCTCTCCAGCATGCAGTCTCTGATGTTTGAGGAAAGCTGTGTGCCACATGAAGAGTTTCTCACATTCCTTACATTCATAGGGCTTCTCACCACTATGAATTCTCTGATGTTGAATAAGGAGGGAACGCTGCCTGAAGACTTTGCCACATTCAGTGCACTGATAGGGCTTCTCTCCAGTATGGATTTTCTGGTGTGTAACAAAGTGTGACCTCTGGCTAAACACTTTCCCACATTCACTACATTCATGAGGTTTCTCTCCAGTATGAACACGATGGTGTTTAATAAGATCTGAGCCAGCTGGGCATGGTGGCGCGTGTCTGTAGTCCCAGCTACTCGGGAGGCTGAGGCAGGAGAATTGCCTGAACCCAGGAGACGGAGGTTGCAGTGAGCCGAGATCGCGCCATTGCACTCCAGCCTGGGTAACAAGAGCGA